CACCGCAATGCTTCCGGGTTTTTGGTTTAATTGGTCGCATGAAAAGGAACAGAAAAAAAGAATGAAATGTTCTGGAAATATTATGACCATTAGAAGATATTGCTTGAAATAATATTTCAACAGGTTGATGACATTTTAGTTTGGGAATTTAATTTAATTTTTTTATTTTCTTTCGAAGAAGAAAAAGTAAAACTACCGATTTATAATGAATAGTTAAATATAGTATAGGCAAAATAGGTAATATGCATACTCATTTTCCTATCTGAATAAAAATTAAGATTGTTTTTGTCAAAAGTAGCTAGTTTTCAGTCACTGCGAAAATAAAATGTCTAAGATAAGTTATTCTGTTGGTTCCTCTGTTAATATTCAAATAATTTTGACATTCACGTTTCTATCGATACAAATTTGATAAATTGAGACATCGAAAATGATTGAAAAATCGAGATAGAGTTAGAAAATATTAGCATACGAGTGTTGAACGAAATTAGAAATCACGTTTCGGTCCAAAAATTCGAGTCATCGTGTGCGAATCAGATTTGAAGAATTATAACTCTTCAGAATTGCGAAATTTACAATTAAATCTCTTCACTACCGTATCACTAACTCGATTCTCTGGCAATAGTTATAAAATACTCCAATGACTGTGAGTTTGAGTACACACGAAGATAACGTGGAAAAGATCACTAAGCATCGAAACTGTTCCTGCTCGTAAATTTTATCCTAGCGTATACAAAAGAACCGTTCGACGTCAGTTAGACTCGCAACGTCAAGATTGTATAAAGAAACAAAGAAAAAAATCATCTAGTCATCCTTGATAATTCATTTTCTAGCCGCTCTTCTTTTTCTGGAAGATTCTCCTCCGCTATGATTTACGGCAACGGAATCTTCTGTGAAAACACACGTGTGAGACAGATAACCAGCGTTAGTCTTACTCAGCTCATTCGTGGTTAAGTCGTGCAATATCGTCTCTAGCAACTGGTAGTATCGGCACGTACACTTTTGTTCCTAAGTGTCTGGACACTTAGGGGAAATGAGGTAAACCTAAAAAATCATTGGAAAATTATTAAAACAGCTTCAAGTATTGTCTTCCGTGATATACTATGAAACACATGTGAAACAAATTTTCTTTAGAAATATAGTCATAAGAAACCCTTACCATAGGACACTGTATTCCAAGAATTCATGTCTCGTGTACACTATAAAGAATCCATACATGATACTTAAACATTCTTATTTTTCTTGCAGTTACTGTTTGCTCTGAAAAATTTAATATCAATTTTTATTGCAGTAAAAAGGTAATATGTGTAATACTTACATGAACAATATACAAGGGTTAAACCAATTTTTAACTAAAAGATCAAACTAATTCTAAATAATTAGTTTCAGCTTTTATACATAATTTGGATATAGCTAGAACTCTGATAGAGAAACCGTATAAAGTTTAATTTCCCCTGTGAATTTTGATGACATTTAGAAGAACGAATGTCGTGACATTTTGTAAAATATATCACTCTCGTGTGTATTTTAGAAAAAACATTAAATTTGAGCATCAATCAACAACCTTATTAGTGAATCATCGGATAGAACATTTACTCTGTAAGTATGAAAGAAACCTTCCAGAAAAGAGTTGACTGGTAACGAAAATTTAAATAGATATTTTTTCAAATTGGCGTAAATCTTAACAAATGTTTGCCCAGAAGAATAAACATTTTATCACATTCACTCTAAATGACTAGAATTTCATACAATCTTGTTGAACGAATAACGTTTGCGTAAATCTTTAACGAGTAAATTTCACGTTAGCAGATTTCGCGGAATACGTGGTCCAGAGAGGAAATAAGAAGACTACCGGTTCTTGTCAACCGGAAGCATTGATTAATCACAGTCCCGCTCGAAACCTGATACCGATAACGATGTAGAAAAAAAGGAAAATCTGCATAATTAATAAATTTTGTTCCGTCCTAACACTATGAATCAATCTTCGCAATAAAGCGTTAAATAATTCCTATTGACTCGTTTAGAAGCATTGATTGTGAAAAATACCACGCTATTCGTAATTTTGAAGAGCTCGTTTGAACGTCGGTTCAGAGACATCGTCACGGAGTGATGTGACATTTCTTATTTCCTCTGCTCATGGACACACAGCCCATAGTTATTACCACCGTCGATAAGAAATTTTCGACGGCGAATATTTATCGACACAATTGCTGGCATATCGTAACAATTTAGGACAAAAGTACTCGAAAATGTCGTAACGTGGCATTTGTAAAATGTCACAGATGCCATTAACAGACCCGTTTGGAAATGGTCTCACGAGCATTGCGAACCATTGTTACATGGAAGGTGTTTGAGCTCCGTGCGTGTCCCAATTTCTTCTGTTTGTAGCGCAAACACATTTCCATGGAGGATGGTTTAAAGGACAAATAGCATCGTTTTTTCGTTTATAAACGTTCTATTCGAGTTTAACGAAAGTCTACGAAGAAATGGTTGATGATGGCAATTTAAAAGTTTCATGGTTATCGATCGAGGAATCGAAGAGGATGGACATTCGTAAAATATAATGCACTTAACATAATGCGCGCTATGTACGGGAATAACACAAGTTCTTCGCGGAAGCACATCCTCATTAGATCGCTGGCTGAGCTCGACTGAAAGTAGCTGCGATTACGCTTTTGGAGTCCCATAGAGAACGTAATCGAAACGCTTTTGTTCTTGGATTATCGAGGTCACGCGTGATTATTCATTCTCTTTCCTTTCTTTCACGCGAGTTATTTAAACTCAGCCGTCATTAATCGATGATACCAGTTAGTGTTACTCCTTGTTATTCTATTTGTTCCATGATTTCAGTTATGAGGTTAAGAGACTTTGTTTGCGTTTCTTTCACTCCTCCTTCCTTTGCTGCTATCATTTTTGTATTACTGGTTGAATATAAATGAAGTCGGAGTATAAGGGGTACCTATTTTAAAATTTTGTATTAGTCAGACATTTATTTTGTTCTTAAATAACGAATACTTTTGAATAGAATATAAAACAATTCTTAGAAGATATAATAACGGTGATGATATAATAGTGACAGAAATATAATGTAACATGTGCAGGATGACTAATCGAGAGGATTTCATATGTGTGATAAAATGTGAAAGATATTTATTTTAAAAGATATTAATTACCTTCATACGATCACTCGTGGAAAAACTATTTACACCATCTTGTGGAATCATTCATCTTTTCTCTCTTACACTCTTTTCTAACTTCAATCAAAATGATGATAGCTTGTTACAGATGCGTGAATTACCCTATATGACATATAATAAAAACGATAGTGATAATGATACACTCTTCTTAATTATATCTTTGCTTATATACTTTTAGACTGTGTTTAGTTTAAGACTAAATGTACTTTTACAAAAGTTTCTTTGAACTTACGTTTAAACACAGAATACTACAATTTCAAAGATAAGCATAAATTCGACATAAAGAAAGAACAAGAAAAAAGAAAATTAACATTCAATTAGAAACCCATCTTTACATGCAGCAAAAAGTTTCCATCCAGAAAAAGTACTGTGTTCATATTTAAATATAGAAGATCACATACAAAAAGAAAACAAATAAACATTGCAAACATTTGCAAATTCTATCTAACAAAAAAATGAAAAAAGACCACAAATTAGAACATAGTAAAGGAAAAGATAAAAAGGGAAAATATGCAAATTTCTAAATAATAACCTCGCGTGTTGAACCTATATCTTCCTAAAAGGAAAAAAAATATGAGAAAAGAGAGAGCAGAATTTCCATTAAAAAATGTTATTTGTCGAACGAATCTCCATATCTATTTAAATAAAAGGAATAAAAAAAAATGAAAATGAAATGCAACATATATACAAAGTTGCATCATATTTTCTCTAAAATATAATAAACAATATTTCTCGTCACGCGAAAATAAAAGGGAGAAAAAAAAAGATGGCGTTCCAATTAAAAACGTTGCGTGTCGCGTGAACTTTCGCGTTTTCCTGTCGACAGGCCGGCATGCTTCCCCCACTCATAGAAGCTTTTTCCTCGATCGAGGCGCGCACCGGTGGAGAAATGCCGCCTTGCCGTTTTGCCCGTCAGTCGAGAATGGCGTAAGCTTTCGACCGGACGGCCTTTCCGATCGGTGCACGCGCTGAAACGCTTCTCTTCTTTCGTGGAACACAAAACACGCGAGGATCGGTGCCGCGACGCGCGAGCTCTAGCTCTTAGGTTTTCTCTTCTGCAATCGTTTCTTTCGTCTCTTCATTTTCCTTTTTCCTTGACAACGCGTCGTTTGCCAGTAATCGTGCTCGATTTTACCAAGTGCCTCTCTTTCTACTCTTCGTCACGTTGCGCGCAACTAATGCCACACCTGTAATATAATAGAATCAAGGATTAATAAAGTCGAAGATTTCTACCGAGTGCCTGTATTTATTCGATTCCGGCAGTTTCCAAGTTTGAACTTTCGTGATTTCGCGGGAACACGTCGACGGACCTCGTGGTTATAGATCGATCATCATTGAAACCAGCGACTCAAGTGAACCGGTGGAAAATAATCCGTTCTTTTTCCAGGGATTTGAACAAACGGATAAATCCAGTGATCGTGGACCAGTTAAAATTGAACGCAAGGTCAACCGTAGCCTCGAAAAGTTTTTTTTTTAAACGGTCCTCGAACTTGAGTGCTTCTCGATAAAGATCGACGAGATCACATAACGACGGAGAACGTTGGAATCGTTGTGAAATTCGTTCAGGAAAGTTTCTGGACAACGTGGTTTCGAAAGTCGTGATTTCGATTGCCGCTCGACACCTTGAATACCTACCTAGGCGAAGGTGGTCGATCGCTGCGAAGGATTTCTTGCAACCTTGACCCACTGGGATCAATCTGTCGTTTATGATTATAACGCATGTTGAATAATGCTTTGAATCGAAACCTTATAGATAATCTTTGATCAATGAACGGTTTTCTTACCTGAACGGTGAATAGTGGTCGAAGTAGTATAATATTCTTCAAGTGTCTTTGCTCGAACGATATCTTCGTACCGACTGGGCACGATTTCCGTGATCGTCGATAAATTCATAAGCTGAAAATCGTAATCGTAATCGTAAACGTACATACATAACCTCTTCCTTTTTTTGATGACAAAACGTGGGAACGTCAAATGAGATTTCTACTATGCGAAGACATGACTTCTGGTACTCTTCAAGGTATGTCATTATTCCTTCTCGTATCTGTAATAATCTATGTAATAATTAACTTGTTATTGCTCATAATTTCACGACTCGCGTGTGCATCTTGAATATCTGATTAATCGAATTACACATAACCTAACGTTACCGTCGATCGTAATATCTCTCGGTATCATTTTCTCATTGGACCCGTCTTGTGATTAAATAAATTTATACCGGTGTCTACGAATCATTGCATCCGATAATCTCAACAATTTGTCAGGATCAATATCTCAGGGGGGAGATGATAGGCACTAAAAAGAGTTCATTGTAACAGGCGATCGATGAAAAGAACGTTAACACATCGTGCTCGTCCGTTGGTTTCGTGTTAAGCGACATGATATGATATCCGGCCGATTAAATACTCGACATTTATTTTCAATCCTGCTGTGTCGTTATCGTAAGTCATAATTTGACGGGGCGAATACTGGACGATCTAACAGCGTCGCATTTCACCGATTAACATAAACACGATCGAACCTGAAACAATGGAAAATAAACTTGAATAGTTCGAAGGTTTCGATTTACGTCTTTTCGAGTTACAAATTTTTTTTAAAGTATTCGATTACTTACCAAGCTCATGGTTATATTGTATGTGAAATTTTACATTATGCTATTTACGATGATTTTTGTCATTTATTGGGTAGTCTCGCGATTATTTTTTTCTTCTTTTTTTGGAAGAATTTTCCTTTTTAATAGTGAACACTTTTAATATTTTATTTGAATTCTGTTTAAAGTAAATGATTGACAGGCGATGTTGTGGTAAACGAATTACACGTTTGAGGTTAAACATTTCGACTGCAACATTGTAAACCTGATCCCCAACGAAACACTGGCAACATCTTTTGTTGAGAATGACCGTTTCGATTGGCCAATCGAAACCTTTCTCTTTTATCGCTATTACTTGACGTTCGCATGGGAATAATATTTAGCAAATTTAATTTTCTGTTTCATCAGAGTTTGTAATAGATAATTCTTTTTCAGTCTTATCACACATACGAAAGGTTTTGATTTCGTTCGTTTAAAATCTGCCAAATTTCTTCAAACAATCCAATGTAGAAAAGGAATAAGAAAATTTGAGAAAACGATCCAGCCAAAAATGATGAAAGATCGTGGACGTGAGATACGATAAACTCGGGTAAAAGTAGATAGTGTATAGATACCATTGGCAGTCGGCCAATCGTGGTATCATGAATGTATGCAACATGCGTACTGGCTGTGTTTTCCAAATGAGCTTCCGTCATACAGAGGGAATACTTTCGTTTCACAATGATCACTGGCAAAATGTATTCTTGTCTTACACCATTCCAACCTCGAATACTTGCCGGATTAAATATTTTTGCAATTTCGATACGCATTGTGTCGATTGTGTATTACGTCAAGTTATCTCAATATGGTAAAACAGAATCAGGTCACTTACTATTCGACCATTCTTTACCTGAACTGAGTGTGCACTTTTTAATATTTCTTATATGTACTAAATGTTATACACGCCAAAGTTTTATGTGCAAAGATACTAAATAAGAAACGTATGATATTAAAAAATTAGGAAACTAAGATAAAGGGGAAGTAATTTACGAAGCAAGGATTTATTATGGCCAGTATCCTCGTAACAAAGAGATACCGACAAAAACAAGGATAGAGTTACTAAACGTTCGTGAAGCGAGCGACCTCTCTGGCGGGAACGCAGCTTCCTTTTGTTGACTAACGTAGTACGCGTTACCTAGATGCTCGAACTAATCGCCATAACTTGAAAATAAATCTCATTCGTATAAAGTTGCAAGTATTAGAAATGATTATAATTAATGATATTAGATGGACGAATTATAATTTGAATGTCTTAAGGCTATTATAAATGTATTAAGTGTATAAATTAATTCGTGAAATTAAATGTGAAGAAAGTGTGACAATTTCGATTCGATAAATTCGTTTACACCATTTCTATCTTTCATAATGTTAAAGTACGTGTTATCTAAACGATGTGCAGAGGACTGAATAAGTAAAATCGGTTGTAGTCAAGTGTGGAGAATACGTCGGGCGTGGCAGATCTCTCCAAGCAAGATTAAAAATTGCTTCCTTTGTAACCTTTGCGACACGAAGCCATGCGTTGTCGTGAAGCAGTCACCCTCTTCTTGTTTCCTTTTTTGTGTACGTTTTTCCGCATTCCAACTTATCGTTGAAAGTAAGAAGTTATTGTAATTCATGTAAAATTATGTAAACACAGATGATGTTTTTTTGAAATTACCGTAAAACAGGTAATACTTGAATTGGCTACAGGAAGCGAGTGAATCTAAAGGTACCTAAATAACTTATACACTTAATAACTAAGTATTATTATAATATGCATACATATATTTTTTTAGTGTCTTTTTTTAAATCGAAATGTGATAATAAAAGATACCATGGATATCATGGCGATTATACCTGGATTATACGGATACTGTATAGAGTATTACTGTCGGGTAAGAAGAAGATTAATTATTGCTTCTGATAGTTTTAACAAATGTATCTCTTAAGAATGAATCTATGTATCTAGGTATCTCTTATATCAAGAAAGGTATGAACAGTTCAGAAAATATAACATTTATATTACATACATCTTGTTCTTTGTCATTGTTACTGACTGGAATATGAAATAGGCATTATGAGGAAAAGTATATGTTCTGTTATCGTTTAAAACTTCCTTATCTGGACATAATTTAAATACTGATTCATGTTTATATTAGTCCTTACTCATTATTTCTTCTGAATCTGCATAAAATTTATGTTAGAGGTTTTTGTATTTAATAATTTATTTTATTGCGTATGCCTGTTTCAACATATTAATTAATTTAATAATATACGTAATTTTATACACTACACTTAAACGTATATAGAAATAAAAAATCTCGATGATTTTATGAAGTTCCAGTAGTAAACTAAGTACTACTAAGTAAACTAAGTCGATAAGAAGAAGTATCAATATTACATGTTTAAATATTGAAGTAACTTATTTTGTTTTTATTTTAGCCGAAACATCGAGAAGTTCCTCAGTCATTGCAAGACTAATCGTTTAATCGTTTCAAATGAAACGCATTATTCATATTAGGTCGCAGACATAAAGTAGCATTTCATTAGACGATAAATTTAGAGTAGTTATTCATCTGTCATGCAGACCGATGTAAGTTAGTTTCAACGCTGGCGTTCGATACATCTTCGAAAATACCATTTTCTCCGTTAGCCATTCTCCGTTGTCCCCGTGCAGTCGTTAGGTCAATTCTTCTATTACGTTTGCTTCCTCTATCTTGAGTCGTTCCTTTTTCCAACCCTCTGGAAATCGCTCGAGTAGCGTACCAAAATATCTCCTGCTCGTATTCTCTATCCAACACTGCTCTCCTCTTCGAATAATGCGTGAAGAGAATAGAAAAACTAAGCTGAGAACTCGGAATCATGAACCGTGTCTAGATTGGACTGAGATCGTTTGTCTTCTGAGCAACAACTATTTCTGGGTCAATAGTTGCACAATCGGGCAATATTAACTCGGGATCATGGTCGTAGCCGTATTAGTCATTTATACGACAGCTAGGAAACGATGTTGCGGTCAATTGTTACTGGGTTGTAGGAACATGTACGTCTGGTTGGATATTTGTTGTACCATTGGTTTATGGCCTAGTCGACGCAAATTGTAGCACGTGCCATCTTGGTGGAGTTCTAATTGTTCGTGGGTAACAGATCAGATAAGATGATGTCTGAAAAATAAGATTGATTGATACTTATAACGACAGATAAGAATAACATATTCACACTTGATTCTTAACTGTTTGCAGATGGATAGACTACTGTAATTGCTGAAAGATACATCGTGAAGAAAACAAATTTTATTTAAGAAATTTGATATATAAAAGTAACACGTGTGGTTTAAAAGAAACCAGAATTCAGAATGAACTTGGACAAGTATCTGCAGACATTTTTAGTCTCTCTTAGGTATCATTTTAAATAATACATAAATTAAATACAAAGTTGATTTTACCTATTTTTTTTTTTTTTTTTTTTTAATAATGTGGTTTTTCACAATACAGGTATTAACATAAGAAAATGAAATTCATGATGTATAATAGACTCAAAACACAAGGTAAAAATGGATGATAATGAAATACATATCTAGAATGATGAAAATGATGGGACTGCTGTGTGCAGACATCTGTCCACAAATGGTTCAATCTGTATCGATGAGAAATTTGTTTCCTTCTTTAGTCGCTCAGAATAGTACATTTATCTTGATATGGTTGGCGATATTGGAGATTATCGCAAAATCTGTATAAAAGAATGTGAAGATTGGACAGGTTGATTTATAGTAGTGAATGAATCTTTTGTACGTGATCGTGCACAGATCTCTGAAATTAGAAGAGAAACGTGCGGATGTCGGTTCAATAGTGTCCACGCGTGAGCAAACAGGTGGTGTGTACTCTCCTATGGTTCGTATTAGGTCTTCCTCCTTGCGATCGTGTCTTCAGTACTAGTATGTTGAACAAATAGAAGTTGGATCAATTATGGTGTTTCTTGTTTATTTATTTCGTCTTCTTTTTTGTCGAACAATTTGTAATATTATAATTGAAGATGACCTTTAATTGAATAGTTTTCTTGTATGGTGAATAAGATGTTTTTTCACTTTTCATTCGTTGATAGGATTTTTTATGTTTAATGAAACTGCCTGCAATATCTTGGTTAACTAAGTATTAATTTGTTAATTATAATTATGAGTTAATTTACTGCTCTATGTGTATCCGTTATTTTTACGTTCTATCCTTTACCTTCCACTATCGTTTACTTCGGTGATAGAAATTGTAAATGTACTAATAGGCCACTTTTTGTACACTGCATATATTTGAAAGTAATCGAAACACACAAGAATATCGTAAGAAACGAATCACGCATAATGAGGTATGTACTAACGGAAATGCCTTTATTCGGTTAATTAATTTCAGACTATTGTCTGTTAA